GAAAGAGGAACATTACATAAGGAGCATAGGGATGGATCGGATTGTGACATCAGATAGGAGTGTGTTAGACGGGTGTGGAAAGGGATACTTGTGATATAAGGGATTCACGTGTGTATCCAGGAGGGAGTGGAAGGGATAGAGGGAATGGTGGGAGAGTTAATGTGGGCGGGGCTGGATTCGGGGGTGATGGACTGTGTTGGGAGGGGGTAGGAGGATAGGGTGTAGGGGGGGGTATCGTTAGGAGGAGGATCGATATCGGCAGTCACTTGTTGTGTGGAGGGAGCAGGAGTTGTAGGATTTGAAGGTTGATGGGTGTCAGTTTTCATTAAGAAGTCTTGAATATTTTCAAGAGTTTCTTCAATGGAGTTGGTTGGGGAGTTTTGTGGGATAAAAGATTTCTTGTGAGGGGGGGAAGAGAAGACTGGTGTCTCAAGAGTAGGGGCAAAGGAAGGTGGAGGTGATTGTGTGGTAGGGGAAGAGGGGGTGGAACGTTTGTTTTGTCTGTTGCGGGTAGTGCGGGGAGGGAGAGGAAGGTGTTGGGGTTGTAGTGGAGATTGGAGTGTCTGGATTTAGGATGGCAAAAGAGTTTGACTAGGGGAGGTAGGAGGTAAAAGAGGGGGAGTTAGATGGAGGGGGTAGGTTTAGGAGAGGATGTAGGAGCTTGGGAGGTAGGGGAAGTGGTAGAATGAGCAATATTACTGGAGTAGGGATTAAGAGAAAAACCTCGTCGACGTGCTTCCTGTCTGGCTTCACGTAGTGTGAGTCCAAGTTTTAATCTGAGAGTTGCTACCTCAGACTCAAATTTGTAGGTGGGACAGCCCCTATAAAATACATTATGAGGGCCACCACAGTTGGCACATGTGCGTGATTGTGCAGAACAGTTTGATCGAGTATGGCCAGGTTGGGCACATAGTGGGCATCTGGCTGTAGAACGGCAATGTTTGGCTGGGTGTCCTAAACGCCAACAATTTTGGCACTGACGAGGAGGAGGTTGGTATAGTCGGACAGGGAAGGATTCTCCACCTATGTAAACATTAAATGAGAGGTCATGTCTACGGAAAGTAATTTTGGCGATGTTAGTGGGTTTCTTACGATGACCTCTGGGAGGAATGGAGTAGCATTGTACTGATGTCGCATCATAGTCTGTGAGGCAGGCGAGTAAGTCTTCTCCAGAATCTGACCAATCTTTGTCATAGATTGAGCAGTTTGCTGGGGAGATAGAAACAGTTCCGGTGCAAGTATTGAGGGTTGGATGGGGTTCTGCAAGGATAGGGTTACCATATATATCAGTTTTGCTAATGCTATAGCTTGGTTTTCGGATGTTACTGTGACGAGACGGGAGCGGTCGGGTCGGCTACGGAAAGAAACTTTGCCTACTTGTTTTTGGAGACATTGCTGGAAGAGAAGGGTGTTGTCAGAGTAGGGAGCTGTGGGAAGGATCACGAAAAATCGGTCCCATTTGGCTGGGCTAAATAGAGTATTTAGGATTGTTGTAGAGATAGGGGTAGTAGAAAGGCGGGGGCGTGTCGAAGAGGGAGTAGTGTTGAGGGAGGTAGTGTTATGGAGAGGTGGGCAATAAGGCTGTAAGGTATTAATAAGGGAGGATGGGGTAGTTGATGTAGAAGGTTGTGGAGGTAGAGGTGTTGAGCATGAAGGGAGAGTAGGAATGTCTCTAGGGGGTTGAGTTCTGACTACTGTACTAGTAGGCACTGAGTAGGGGGTAGTTGTTGCAGTGTTCGGAGCCGTGGTCAAAGGAGAGCCTGGGGTCAGGGAATCGGGAGGATTTGAATTTTTTGGGCTATTTGATGAAGGGGCAAGCCCCTAATAGTGGGGTTACGTTTTCATCATTGGCCATGGTAAGCCAGGAGTATGTTGGGGAGAGAAAGTCCACCCCTCAGGGTCCCCTTGAGGGGTAAGGGCTAGGCCTAAGCAAGGGAATACCCATGGCTTCCTCAGGCCGTTCAGGACTGGCACAAAGTCAGCCTTTCATCCTTTCAGCACGGCTCTCACACCTTAGGAGGTGGATAGTAGGGATTGGTGAAGGGACAGAAACGAAAAAGTAGGAAGGGAGGGCTGAGTCCCAAGGTTGGGGAGTTCCCCATCATTGGGTCTCAGTCTCCGCCTCCTAAGCCCCCCCGCGACAACAACGGGCAAAGGATTGGGGGTGTTAGATTGTTGTAGAGATAGGGGTAGTAGAAGGGCGGGGGCGTGTCGAAGAGGGAGTAGTGTTGAGGGAGGTAGTGTTATGGAGATGTGGGCAATAAGGCTGTAAGGTATTAGTAAGGGAGGATGGGGTAGTTGATGTAGAAGGTTGTGGAGGTAGAGGTGTTGAGCATGAAGGGAGAGTAGGAATGTCTCTAGGGGGTTGAGTGTTGACGACTGTACTAGTAGGCATTGAGGAGGGGGTAGCTGTTGCAGTGTTAGGAGCCGTGGTCAAAGGAGAGCAATTGCCCCTAATATTGGAATTACGTTTTCATTATTGGCCATGGTTGGGGAGAAAAACAGTCCACCCCTCAGGGTCCCCTTGAGGGGTAAGGGCTAGGCCTAAGCAGGGGAATACCGTGCCCATGGCTCCCTCAGGCCTTTCAAGACTGGCACAAAGTCAGCCTTTCATCCTTTCAGCACGGCTCTCACACCTTAGGAGGTGGATAGTAGAAGGGATTGAAGGGACAGAAAGAAAAAGTAGGAAGGGAAAAAAGACCATGCAAAATTTGTTGAGTCGAGGGCGGAGTCCCAAGGTTGGGGAGTTCCCCATCATTGGGTCCCAGTTTCCGCCTCCTAAGCCCTCCCCACGACAACAACGGGCAAGGGATTGGGGGGGCAGCGATGTGTCTACCTTCCGGGCTTTTAGAAACTCCCGAACCCGAACCTTCGGAAGTGACTAGGGATATGGCAAAATCCAAACTTTGGTCCAAGGCCAATGTCCTGAAGGGGTCAGAAAGAGAGAATATGGTAGTTTGTCCTCTACCCCCCCCCCCCCCACACACACACCTCCAGAGGAAGCCTGGTTGTGTTCTCCTGTACCAAAGGGGGATCGAATTATGTGTAAGACACTTCCTTACCACCAATTGATGCCCCCCCCCAAAAAAAAAAAAATAAATAAATAAAAATAAATAAATAAATAAAACGAATATAGGAGCCCTCAAGGAAGCTCAAGTAAGCTCAGGAAAATCACATAAAAAAAAGAAAAAAAAAATTCAGATCAGAGGAAAAGTGCGCCCAAAGGACACCTCAGATCTCTGGGCCTCCCTGCCCAGAGGTCAAAGCCCGCAACGGCTGCCCTGAGGTAGAATGCTGTGGTCCTGAGGTGGGGTGCTGATTACGCCTTCTGTAGTGTCGCGTGACCTGTAAGTTCAAAGCACTGACGGTGCGGTCAAAGTTCTGAATGATCAGATATCTACTCTAAGGTTTACATTACAAAACCTCGGAAACAACAATCCCGAGAGAGACTAGAGGCCAGGGCACCAAAGTGATTCTTGCGGCGAGCGACTTCTTGCTTGTTGTCGCTGAGTTATGTAAGTGGTACGAGCTCTACAAGTTCTCATACACGAGTGACCTTTTCTAAAACCAAACAAACCTAGTACCCTTCATCAAAATTACCATCCTATAGCAATCACAAGCTGTCAACGCAAACTGCCAGAAAGGGTGATTAACATATTTCTTATGTGGTATCTCGAATATTACACCCTTATCTCTCTAAATCAGTTTGGAATTCGCGGCCGAATCACAGCTGATCCTCATCATTTGTACGCTGTGTTTCAGCATATGATATTACATGGCAGTACCATATCCTTCAGCGTCTATAGTCCTATGGGATATGCAGAAACATGGGTATTTTTATAAAAGTCTTTTCTTTCAGATCACACCTTCCGTGTCAGATTGGCCTTAATTCACAGGTGTCCCACAAGATAGAGTGTTCAGCACCACATTATTTCTCATTGCCGTCAACGAATTACTTTCAGCCCTACCACCAAGTATCCAGTCATTACTGTATATAGATAAATTAACCATCTTAACCTCTGGTCCTTCTATAACTGCTCTCCATAAACTTCTCCAGTCTGCAATAACATCAATTTCTTCTTGGGTTATCAACCAAGACTTTCAATTTTCTACCTCTATAACCTTTTCCATCCTTTTTTTCACTCACATATAGGTTCCTAACCTCCACTCTTCCTATACGATGCTCGCATCTAATTTTGTCCTCCAGGCAAATTCCTTGGTGCCACTTTCGACTCCAAAATGTCTTGGCAAGATCATATCCTTTAACCCATTGCCGCCGGGGATGGCATGTATGTACATGCCATGCCCACTGTGAGTCAACTTGTTCGATTGTTTTTACACATAGATGGCTACACTTGTACTAAGTATCCAATGAGCCAATTACGAGTACTGCCTGTCTCGCCCGTTCACCCTTTTCATTGATTTACGAAAATATTTAACGTTATCCTTATTTGCTGTTAAAAATAACACCATCTATATTTATAGCACTAGTAAGAATACGTTTTTTTATGAATTTATCAACCTGTAAGTTTCCATAACTTATCTATTTTTGTAATGTTTAGAATGGCATACTTGTTGTAGACCATTTTTTTAGGTGAACAACTGGGTCTTGTAAATATCCATAACAGACAAATTGCTTCACATTTTTATATCAGCGCCAAGTAGGTAGAAAATATGATTCACTGCTCACTGTTCATTTGTAGAGCCCTTACTGAAAACGAAAGCCTACTACACCACAAAAATGGTGTCAGACAAAAAAAAGAGAAAAGAAAGAAAGAAAGAAAGAAAGAAAGAAAGAAAGAAAGAAAAAAGTTGTTGGAAAAGTCCCTTTTTTCTGCAATGGCAATATTTAAGATATGGAAATTAAAGTTAATCCATGGAATGCTGGTGTAAAGAGAAATTGCAATTAAATCTATTAATTTTCCATAAAAAAAAAAAAAAAAAAAAAAAAAAAAAAAAAAAAAAAAAAAAAAAAGGATTTCGGCTTCTCAAAACTACACTTTACTTCACTCGGTGCAATTTTATTGATTTATCTTCTGAACAAACTGAGTCAAGTACAATTTTCTTTCTCATATAATTACAGAGGTGTGTGATGGGAGTGGCTTTTCTCAATATTGTCTCTGTTTCTTGTAAAAGTGCCGCAAGTGTTTAACAAACACGACCTGTGATTTTTCCAAATATCTCTACATATATGGAAAAGCCTATGAATGAGAGTGAATATATTCGCAGTGCAAGAGATGGATTTTTATTCATTCTCGCTTACACCTTTTTCTATACCTGTTGCATTGGGCACTGTTTACTCAACTTATCACAGCCACAGAAGTAAATGGATATGATATCTTGGATAATAATAATAAAGGCAACTGGAACAATGATGCACATTCAAAATATGACCAGAGTGTCAATATAGAAAAAAAATGACTCCACAGTCATAGCTGATGAACTATGAAGTTATTTCTCTTGCAATGGCACAGAACTGTCTCAGTCAGTTCAAACTGCAAAATAAAGATTCAAAACATTTGCGCTTCGAGATGATCACCAATAGGTGAGTATAAAAAGGTGTGAGTTTTAAAGTTTGTCCAAAAGACAACAGCAACAACAAAAAACAAATTAATAAAACAAGTACATAATGGTATAACCCAGGTGACCTAAAAATAGCTTCAAAGTAAGGGAATGGTTCCCTTAAGAAAATATAATTTATTTTCAAAGCTACGTTTATTTTTACATCTATAAAACCTGGTGTAAACCCATGGCAAAATGTATTTGATAATATAGTTTATGGTGTGACAGCAATGTTATGTCCATTTCACAAAGGGAATATGCAAACTTGTAAGGTAACTGACATGAGGTTACTTACCCCTCATAAAAATGGGGAGGGGGCAAACTTAGGGGAATTTTTTTGAAGGGTGAAGTATTTCACAAAAATGCTAAAATTGCATTTTTCAGATTTTAACCAAATATCTCCTAAGATTTTCAATATAGCTTATCCATTAATTATTCATTGCTTTAACTTCAATTTTATTATATAGCCTGGTTGTGCATGGGACTAGAGACTACTCAGTCAGATTGCCCAAAAGTGTAAAAAGAGTGGAAAGTTCAGTTGAGGTTGGAGAAACAGCACTGTTTGGTAGCTGCCATAGGGAGACTCTCCCCAACTGATCACCTACAGCAATTAGAGCCATGCTAGAAAGAAAGAAAAGGGATTGTTACTGGAGTGTTTCAACTGAGGGTCTTTTAACAAACAAACACATGTGATTAGTAAATAAATCAACAACATATCCAAATATATAATTAAAAATATTTTAGTTTATTTTTAAAAATGTAAATAATACAATTTACAATTATGGTACAATCATAAACATGTATAAAATAAAACAAATAAAATAGTAACCAAAAATTTAAAAAGGAAATACAAAGCGAGAAAAAAAAAAACACTTTTTACGAAATTGCAGAGCTACTAGGCTGAAATATAAAATTCTTCACAAATAAAGAATATACTTAGAAACAGGCCAAAGTTAGCAAAGAAAAGGAAAATCCATGATTTAACTCATACAACGTCATAACCTTTTCTCGAAGATCTGTCTACTTACTTCTTCTTATTAAAAGCTGTCGTAGTAATAGGAGAAGGTTTCTCAGCAGCTGGTAAAGTGAGGAATGGTTCGCAGTTTTTCTGACCAAAGTCATAAAGTACAACCTGGCCTGTTGTAAGTCCCACAGCAACAACCAATGGCCTGGACAGCGACCAGTGTGCACAACTAATGTTCTGTTCACTGTATATCACACTTACTGGTCTGTTGGGCTGAAGAAAAGATGAACTGTGTAAATATGAAACTATTTGTTTCATGACAATGCAGAAGGAATGCATGCAATGCATTTATAACAGTAAATGGTCTTCAGGTATACACTATGTATATATAAATACAAGAAAGTAGGAATTCCATACATACATATAAACACAAATTTGCATTTTGCATTACAGTTGTCCAGCCTTCAAAATAAACATACATTATTTCAAAGACTTGCATGTTTTATTACTATAACATATGCAAACTTTTGCATCCACACCAGAAACTACACCTACAGTCATCCATACACATATGCACACACACACACATGCTCACACACCTACACATATTGAAACTGCCAGCATCCTTACCTGAAGGAGACTGTAAAGCCTAATTTCATTATCTGAAGCTGCAGACAAGATAGCATTTCTGTGGTGTGGAGAACATTCTGCGGTTATGACCCGTCCTGTGTGAGGGGCTAACACAGAGGTTACACACTTCTTCAGTCCTATACCAGCAAATGTCACACCAGTGGGTACCTGTTTTGTCAAGAGATCAATATGATCGAAACATTATATTTTTTGAAGGTGATACCAATAAGGAGGACATTAATCAGTCGATACATTCCTCTTATGTTGTGTTTCTTACACTGATATATTAGTAAATCTCTTGAGAGAGAGAGAGAGAGAGAGAGAGAGAGAGAGAGAGAGAGAGA